GCCGCCGCCAACAGCGGCCCGCGCGCACCCGCCGCCATGCTCCGCTTCCGGCACGCGCCGCCGCGCCCCCGCGCGGAAACGGCGGACAGCGCGGCCAATGAACAGCGCGCGCCGCGCCGCGTTCCCGCCTCCTGGGGTGTGCACGCCATGGCTGGCAGCCAATGGGGAAAGGGGGCGGGGCCAGCAGGGAAGCGCTCCCGCCACCCGCTAGGCGGGAGAACCGGGGTGGGGAGGAGGAGCGGCAGCGGGGCTGCTCCCGGCGTGCATTGCGCGCCGCGCAGCACGGCGGGAGTTGTAGTACCACTGAGCGGCGCGGGAACGTGCGCGGCTCGTGCGTTCCAACGCCCCGCCCAGCACGTGACCCGTCGCTATGGCAACGCCTCACAAGATGGCGGCGGGGCGCCCGGGCCTCCCCCCCCTCCCCTCCCCTCGTTGCCGCCGGGGCCGCAGGCGGGACGGAGGCAGCGCAGGGCACGCACCGGGCACGGGCACCTTTATTGGGCCGGGCCTGTCCGCCGCAGCGGCTCCCGCCCCAGGCGCGCGGCCCCGAGCGCCCTGCGGCTGGGGCTTGCGGCCCTCGGGGTGGCTGTTTTCCTCCGGGCCGCAGAGGCGCCGGCTGGGCTGCGCTCGGGCTGTGCCCGGGCTGTGCCCTAGTGCGGGCCCTGCGGGGCGCCGCGTGCCTGGGGCCGAGCCCGGCAGCGGGAGTCTCCGTCAGGGCCCGCCCGGCCGCGTCCTCTCCTCCTCCTTGTGCTCSTCATGCGTGTGCGGATCCTCTGGCCGGAGCGGAGGCCTCGTGGGGCCGTCACTGTGGCGGGGGCAGCAGCRGGGCCGTTTGGTGCCCCGGGGTGCCGCACGGGAGCCGGGCAGCGAGTGCCTGCACAGCGGTGCGGGCARGGGCTCCACAGCGCGCGGGACTGGTGGACACGTCGGCAGCGATGGTGGCTCTGGAAGCCTGGGCTCTGGGCAGGATGCGGCCATCCCCCTCRCAGCAGCGGCTGCAGGAGGACTAGAGCGGTTTGAGGAGTCGGAGCTGTGGAAAAGCAGGCAGGGAGTGGAGGGAAGGTGCTGGTCCATGGAAGGCTGCGTGGGAACCCCCTGCCGAGCTCAGCCATCAGTGATCACGGCCAGCYGAGCCTTTGGGGGAGCCTCGGGGCACGAGGAACCTGCGGTTTGGTCCCCTCTGCATKTAGCACCTCTCACTTCTTCCGATTGATGATCTGACTGGAAATCCAGTTCATCCCATCCTGGAGGGCAGAGAGACATGTGGGAGTGTAGCCYGAAGGGCGCTGCGGGCCCTGAGCTCCCCTCGCCCTGCCCCTCTACCTGCACTCCTTCCCCGGAGAGGGCCGAGCAGGGCTGGATCTGCCATTCCCGGTCGCGGTAGGTGTGCAGGCTGAGCCCTTCGGCCACCTCGGCCGCGGGTGCCGCGGTCGCCAGGTCCTGCTTGTTGGCAAACACCAGCAGCGGGACCCCCAGGAGAGACTCCTGCTCGGTGAGCTCCGCCAGCTCCTGCCGAGGGAGACGCGGCTCCCAGGAGAGCTGCCGCTGACCATGGAGCGGCTGTCCCCGTGCGGAGCTGGCTGGGATGGGATGGAGCAGAGCGCCTCCCTCCCCAGGCTACTGCTGCCCAAAGAAGCTGTGAGCTCTTGTCTGCCCATGTCCCAAAGGAGAGACACGTGTCCCTGCAGCTACCCCTGCCTGCAACAGCGCCTGGAGCTGCATCCAGAGCATCCAGGTAAAACACTCCCAGCCCCAAGACAGTGTGGGACGCAGTGTCCCTCGCAGGCCACCTGCTGTCACCCGCCTTGTCTGGCCGCCCACGCTGCTGCGCCGGCAGCTTCTCATGTTGGTTCAGCCCAGACTGGCACTCGGGATCTCACCTTCCCCTCCGGTTTCATTTCCAAGCCTTTAAAACTCTGAATTCCCTACTTGAGCTCCAAAGAATAAATCCTTGCTTTGCCACGTTGTCAACTCGGTGCAGGGGACGTGGACATGGGAGGACAGGGCTAAATGGGGTCGGTTGCACTCACGTGCTGTCCCTGGGGAGAGGCAGGGTGTGGGGACATCTCTCAGATGCTGCTCTCAGAGARGGGTTTGGGATGGGGCACCGTTGTCCCTTCCCCATCAGATTTCACCCAGCTTAGGTGAAAGCCGGGGAGCAGGGTCCCGGGAGCAGGGCGCTCCGCGTGTCGGTTGGTGCCGGGCAGAGCGCCCCGCGCCCTTCCCCAGCACGGGGGCAGCTCTCCCCATAGGCAGCCCAGCCCGTGGGTCCCAGGGCCCCGCAGCTGCCCCAGTGCAGCCCCAGGGCTCTGCTGCTCGKGGCTGGCCGCCCGTACCTGCCCCGTCTCCTCAAAGCGCTTCTGGTCTGCGCTGTCGATGACATAAATCTGCCGCGGGGACAGAGAGCACAGTGGGCGCCTGTGCCGCCCGCTGCAGCGCCCCGCRGAGCGCCCGCGCCGCTCACCAGCACGTCGGTGCTGCCCAGGTACTGCCGCCAGTAGGGGCGGACGGCGCGCTGCCCGCCGATGTCCCACACGCTCAGCCTCAGGCCCTGCGACTGCACGCTCTTGATGTTGAAGCCCTGCCGGGGGAGCAAAGGCAGGCGCCGCGTGCCGGGAAGGCAGGAGCCGCCGCCGCCTGCGCCGCGCTGCCCRCGGCGCCCCTACCTGCGTGGGCGTGATGGTGCCCAGCTCCTCGCGCGCCAGGCGCCTCAGCAGCGTCGTCTTGCCGGCRTTGTCCAGCCCCAGCAGCACGATGCGGAGCTCCTGCTCCGGGGAGCCCTTGAGCCGCCGGAGCACGGAGAGCAGCCCCTGGGGGCCGGGGGAGCCGGCGGGGGCGCCGGGCTGCGGRCCCTGCGGGGGAGCGGAGCGCTGAGTGCCCTGCGCGCGCTCCGCCCGCGCCGCGGCTCCTCGGGGCCGGAGCGGCTGCTTGCTGCCCCACGAGCACTCGTGGAGGGACAGGGCTGGGGACAGGCTGGCCCCGCGGTACCGGCAGCGCCACACTGCAGCGTGGGGCCCACTTGAAGTGGAGGTCGGGCTGGAGCCCGTTTGGAGCCAGGATCGGGGCTGGAGCCCACTTACCGTCTGCACCTCGCCCATGGTGCGGGGCCACTGCAGTGACGGCCGTGCTGGCGRGCGCCGGGTCCTGTCCCCAGCGCCTCCCCGCGCTGCGTGACCAGCCCGCGCCCGGCGCCACAGGAGGAAGAGGATTAGAGGCTCCAGAATTAGCTGCTGTTTCTCCATTTACCCACAGCGTTAAATAATGCCCTGGGCAAATCTCAGCGCCAGCTGTCCCCTGGGAAGGAGCCCTTCCTGCCCAGGGATAAGCTGGGCCCCGCTGGGCCCCTCCACGCAGTGTCACTCTCACCACGGCCCATGCGCTGTGGGGCTYGCAGCTGCCCACGCCACCGCAAGGATGTTGGGAAGCGGAGGAGCCAGGACCAGGGTCTGGCCGCAGGATGGAGTGGTGCTGCCTGCGCTCCCTCCTCATGGGACTGCACGGAGCTGCTCACAGCTGCGTGGCTGGAGTGGGGACACGAGGCACGTTGCCGCCTTCAGCACGTCCCCATGTCCCACCCAGCCCGGGCAGGCTGAGGTGACAGCGCTGCACCTGGCCTGTGGCCCCGTGTCACCAGCCAGCGCCCGGACACGGCCGGCAAGAGGAGCTGGGGGCAGAGCCAGGGCAGCCGGCGCTGCCAGGGCTTTGCTGTCCCTGCCAGGGCTTTCCTCTCCCTGCCAGGTCCTTCCCGTCCCTGCCAGGTCTTTGCCGTCCCCGCCAGGTCCTTCCCATCCCCGCCAGGTCCTTCCCCGTGCCCGGCAGCCTCGAGGGCGCTGGCCGCGTGCTGGGAGCCGCAGGGCTCAGCCAGCTGTCCCTGCGCCAAGCAGGACAGCTCTGCTGGGACAGGGCTCCCGGTGCCTCGCAGCCCTGCCCGCGTGGAGGCCGCCCGGCCAGAGCCGCCACGGGACACGAGGACACGTCACCCTCCACCCGTGCTCCCTGCTGTCACCCAGGGAAGCCACCAGGCTCTGGGGCGGGTCGAGGGCTGGCAGGAAGGTCACTGAAGGTCTGAGATGGCCCAGGACAAGAGACACAAAAAAACACTTTTCCCCGGGCTGGGTAAGGGGCTGATCTGTTCACCATTTGTATTAATTGTGCTAATTAAGCAATTTATTGTTTTCTTGCAGGCTGCAGCTCAGTCCTTGGATCAGGTTTCCTAGCAGAGAGGTTATCCTTGTGGTGAGGACCGTGACTCATGCGCTCTTGGTGAGACATTTTTATTTATAACTCCTGCTGCAAAGCCAAGGCAAACAGCACTGCTGGGCTCCCACAAAGGGAAGGGAAGCGGCACAATCGCCCCCCATCTGCACTGCTCCTACCTGCTGCACTGGGGTGCGAGGGGGGCAGCAACAGGCCACAACCACCCCCTGCCCCTGCTGATGCTGCGCTGCTTCTGTGCACGTTCCTGCTGGAAACATTTCATTTTTCTCTGCATAGATCTGCACCCAACTTAATGTTAGGGTTCTGCTTTTGATAGGTTAATCACCTACGTTATGTCCCAGTTATTAGCATTTACATGAGCGCGTTGCCATGGCGCTCTGCGGTTTATCCTGTAACTGTTAGTTACTTGCATTTCCTAACAAATATCCTAAAATATCCYGGGCTGGTTTGTGGTTGCTGATGAACATGGAACCCAGAGCGAGGAGATGGGCAAAACTGCTTAGGCATCACTTTGGCGATGCCACGTTACACGTCGGCCGCTCCTCCCCGCCGGGCTCTGCCGCGCAAGCAGCCTGTCAAGGCAGAGCCCTTGGTGCCGCTGGTGGCACTGGGGCATAATGGAGTGGTGGGGAGATGCTGGCACCTCCATGGGCTGGCTGGGGCAGGGGATGGGAGGGCACTGGGGCCGCTGGTGCCAAAGCGGGGAGGGTGGCATAGCGGTGTGTGATGGTGAGTGGTGTGTGGTGGTGCTGAAGAGGACATGCAACGGTGCCAGGGCACGGGGGTGTGATGGCAAGGGGTGTGTGGTGGTGCTGGAGGGGACACGTCATGGCGCCAAGGTGAGGGGTGCGCCATGGTGAGCAGTGGGAGATGGCGCCRAGGCGAGGGGCGCACGATGGCGAGGAGTGTGCCATGCCAAGGAGCGTGATGGCTCTGCGGCGGGGTGCGAAATGGCGCCTGGCCGGGGTCGCTCTGTGGCAGCGGGTGCGAGATGGCAGGTGGTGTGTGGTGGTGAGGGGCGCACGATGGCAAGGGGCACATGGTGGCCATGGGTGTATGATGACGATGGGTGCACGGTGGTGATGGGCACACAATGGTGATGGGCACACCACGGTGAGGGGCACACCGTTGTGATGGGCACACCATGGTGAGGGGCATACCACGGTGAAGGGCACACAGTGGTGATGGGCACACGATGCTGAAGGGCACACCGTGGTGATGGGCACACCGTGGTGATGAGCACACCATGGCGATGGGCACACCGTGGTGATGGGCACACCACGATGATGGGCACACCATGGCGAGGGGCACACCACGGTGATGGGCACACCGTGGTGATGGGCACACTGTGGTGATGGGCACACCGTGGTGATGGGCACACGGTGAAGGGCACACCGTGGTGAAGGGCACACCATGGTGATGGGCACACAGTGAAGGGCACACCGTGGTGAAGGGCACACCGTGGTGATGGGCACACAGTGAAGGGCACACCGTGGTGAAGGGCACACCGTGGTGATGGGCACACAGTGAAGGGCACACCGTGGTGAAGGGCACACGGTGATGGTCACACAGTGAAGGGCACACCGTGGTGATGGGCACACTGTGGTGATGGACACACTGTGGTGAAGGGCACACTGTGGTGATGGGCACACGGTGATGGGCACACCGTGGTGAAGGGCACACGGTGATGGGCACACAGTGAAGGGCANGGGCACACCGTGGTGAAGGGCACACGGTGATGGGCACACAGTGAAGGGCACACCGTGGTGATGGGCACACGGTGATGGGCACACAGTGAAGGGCACACCGTGGTTATGGGCACACCGTGGTGATGGGCACACTGTGGTGAAGGGCACACTGTGGTGATGGGCACAC